ACATTATTTTATACATCATAAATTTATTCAGACACAACCAGGAATCACCCAATCTATAGTCTACTCTGACAAGAACATGAAACTTTTGGATATGTCGTCCCATAAAAACGCTAAGATTGATCGGAGAGCCCCACTTCAAATTGGTGTAATAACAACACTGCCAGATCGATTAGGCCAGTGTCCAGAGTCAGTCAACCAGACAGTAACAATGAAGAAGCAGTAACAGGCCAAGTGCTGCAAAAGCAAATTCACAGTGCAGAAACAACAGCTCACGGCACCAGCACAGCACTCTACAACAGTAACAAGCCATTAATTCATGTCCCCTAACTCGTGATGCTGACTGCAGCATTGCCATATGCTTGGGAAACAAACTGCTCTTTTTCTATTAAAAAAGCAGTATTCAATTGCCCAGACTACCACCTAAGGGGGACACGAATGGTTTATTATTAAAGATGAAAAGCCTGACATTCAGGCTGCTTAAAGTCTTTTTATCATTTTCCACCACCATCCACCCAAGGTCACCTTTGGGTCAACTCTGCACTGATAAAAACTAGCTCTTCCCGAGGCCTTTTGAATAAACAAAAAAGAACAGAGACATGTCTGTTGACAGCTGATTGTTTGTCAAATGAACCATAACATCTCTTCTCTTGCCCAGGGAAGAGAGCCTTACATCTGAGTAGGCACTGTATTGTTGAGCATTAACTCCTTCTACAGAGTGCTCCAACGGTGTGGAGCCTTCCATCCTCACGGTTCCCATGGGACTGTCCCGAAGGATGGACACAAACACAGGGTTGGGTATCGTTTTGTTTGTACTTGGGCAGTCATTGCTTCCTCCCTTGCATGAAATCTACGTATTGCAGGTTTTGCATTTTGCTGCGTCGTTATCTTTTTTAAGTGAAACTAAGTCAAACTTTTGAGCATATATTGCTCTTCTCCACTGTGGTCCAGAAATTTAAACACAGGTACTCTCATCCCGCATGCTTTGTTGACGCACAGCCCAACAAATTACGTTATGTTAGGTTTGTGTAGCAGGTCCTGGCAGATAAGTACAACTTTAATGGACTGCAAAATGCTCACTGCCGTTCAATCTGGAGCACAGCTGAAATATGCTAAATGTTAGGAACCGATAAGCAGAACTGAAATGCCCTTGTCTTAACATATCAACGGCTCTTGGAAATTTGACAGTGGTTCCAACTTGGAACCGGTTCTTGATACCTAACCCTACATAAACACAGACAAGCTCTTATGCCTTCCAGGCTTAAAAGTACTTCTCCGCCATGTTTACTGGCTCTGCTGTCACTGCTGGCAAGAGAATGGAAGTCTGGAGGCAGCATAAGGTTTTGCAACCAGCAGTGTGACCTTGGCAAACTTGCTGCCAAGAGACGCATACACAAGAAGAGATAAAGCCTGTCTGTTTCTCTTGACTCATCTATATTCTGTTCTCATACATACAGTCAGGTCATACGCGAGTGACTCCCTCGCATGCCTACATTAATTCAGAGCAGCTTTTTCCAAAAGCTGTGAAAAATTGGATGAAAATATAACCACACTTGTAATGATTCAATGCAAGAATTATGCACATTAACGAACAGTGAATCTCCATTCACCATCCGTGAGAAATCACACAAGACAACCACTTAAGTTTTCCTCGGCTTTCACCTTGAACCTCAGTTTAGAAAAGGAAAGATTTGAAATACTTTAACAATAATTATTACATTAGGGTGAAACGCTTATTTTTACTAGTGATAAAATGCCCGATATCGGCACTCACGAGGGCGATATACAGAGAAAATGTCTGGAGACACATCTGTAGGCAGCCTTGTCAATGTTTGGAGCAGTACATGTCCTCAGTCACCATCGTCTTTTCTAAATGTTACCACTAATGTTAACATTCCAAAATGACAGCAAATCTAATCTAACACCATTACTGGCTAGCTTTAAATATGTATTGTACTGTAGAAAATAACGCAGTTGAATAACGTCACTTCTGACAAAGGAAACTCCACTCAACCCTTAAACACCAGTCATGTTCTGAAATCTACAGCACAACCAAATGTTTTTCTATTTCATTAATAAGAAAAAAATCCATCCAAAAACATCATGTTACTGTCCGAGATATTACTGTCCGAGATAACAATGTATATATTGTACTCAGTATGGAGTAAAGGAATTATACATGACTTATCTTTGTTTCGATATCGGCATTATATAAAAATCGGCCTTGGCCGCCCTGCTCTCTAAATATCGGCATCGGCCATTCATTTTGACTGATATTGCAGTTGCGATACAATTTGCAATATTAGAATGAATTATAATTTATACATCATGATTATCATTTTTATTGAAAAACATACAAAACAAAATGATTATGGTGTGACTTTTTAAGGGGGATCTGTATCAAGCGCAAATGTTTGTGTAAGTCTGTAGAATATGATGCGTAGGCCAGGACATCATTTCCCAACTATCATAGCACATAAACACATCCGATTTAAGGTTTCATATTACCATTTTAGCCATGTGATGTGTGGAAGTGCCATGTGAAACACACATGGGTGAATGCTGGGAAATCACCCTCTACTGCACACCAGCACGGACTACCATTCATGCGTGCGAAAACAATATCTAATCTGCTTTGCTGTGATGAGATCAAGGGTCGACCCTCCCTCTGATGAAGTCGACATATCATGCTCATTTGCAACCGAGAGCAATATAAACTGACAAGCTTCCCGTCCACGCCCTCAGAGATGAGCACAATGTAAAGTGTTCCCATAGCAATGTGATGACTGTTGCTATAAACAGTGCAGGTAGAAAAGTACCAAGATCATCAAAATATCTCTAAACTGGGACAGTCAGCTCCCTTTAATAGGTAATAGGGGTGGCAATGGTGCAATGGATAAGACACATGCCTTTGGTGTGAGACCCAATGTGTTCCTGAGCAAGACACTTAACCCCTTGTTGCTCCAGAGGCCTCTGACATGTATAGCAATTGTAAGTCGCTTTGGATAAAAGCATCAGCTAAATGAATAAATGTAAATGTAAACAGTGTTGTCACAGCAGCAACTCCTCTTTGATATGTGGCACTGCTGTGTGTGGAGAGCACACAACACACACATCGTTATCAGCTGATGCCAGAGGCCTGGCTAGCAGTGTGCCTATGGCAACCTGCACGGCTGCTATTGTCTCCCATGACTGTGTTTAACGCTGCGCAATAACAAGGGGTGTCAATAATAGATGTGGACATGTCAGACGCTGATCCATAACACGAAGCCGTGCACAGGCAAAAGACAAACCTCACACACGGAGACACATCAGGAAAACACACAACAGGGAGAAAAGTCTGTACACAACAGTCCAAGGAGGGAGGGGCCGAGAGGGAAGAGTTGGCCACATGTGAAAACCTTCCAGGCCTGGGGATGATGTAACCTCTCCTGTAGGCTGTGAAAGGCAGTTAAGAGAAATGGTGCTGGTCAGCCAGTTTGTTTCCATTTGTTCTGCCTCTACACTGAGGGGCCTGCTGCTCAGCCTCATCCATGCCTCACGATAAAAGGTTTCTGTTTACAGAGTCAACAGGAACCACATAAGCAGGACCCAAGTTTGTTGTATTTCTACTGAATCTGGAAAACTGAAAGGCTGATACAAGTCTCCCTAATTCACAACTATTGCAACGAAAGAGCACAACCTTTACAATGTCCCAGCTCAAGACAGTGGGCAGGTACACACAATTACAAATGTATGATTTGATTACATTTAAATAAAAGCAGATAATTCGCTTTTTTCATTAGAGATTATCACATGTAATTACTCTCATATGTAGCATTTACAATTTTGTTTTTTGTTTTTTTCCCAGGGCAAACCACAATCTGCTGTTCTGGTCAGTGACACACCACTCACTGCACAATCACACCCCTCTCCCAGGCAATCCAGGACCCCGCAATACCCCCTCCCATTTCCCTAGGCCCCCTGTCCCAGCCCCACACTCCTCCTTTTCTTTCTGCTGCCATTTTCCCGCCCTGCAAAGCAGCAGGCTGAAGAAAGGAAAAAAACAGCCATTCACAACCCTCCACCTTCACCATCGTCACTGCTGAGGCAGAGAGAACTCGATGCAGCTTAAGAGAAAGGCTGAAAATAAAAAATAACAATCATCAGGAATCCATCCATCAAGCTTCCTGATTTATCACCATATCTAAAGATGATGAATTGTGCTTTGACATTTACTAACTAGTATCAAGAACACCACTGAAGATGCCTGCAACATACAGTTAATAATCGCCTAAATTACCTTTGATACTCTTGTTGTTTAAGTCAAGTAAACTTGGAAAACTGTCCATCACAACAGCACCACCAAACTGGTCTGTCTTTCAGAGATCTTTGGATGGAAAGACTGATGACACCTGAACACCAAACTTAACATTGAAATGGCTGGTCTGAGTCTATTCAAGTATCCATTCCTGGCTGGGCAGTTAAAATGTTTGTACTTCCAACACAACCCATCACTTTGACGTTTTACATCTTGTGAATCAACATTCAAGTATGAAAATGCAACTGCACTAAGTGAGCAAATGTTAACAGTGTTTGAATCAACTGGTACGGACCGTACGGACCACAACTACTGAGCTTTTGTTTTAGCACCCAGTTTTCAGCATGGCAGGCTCTTCTTCCCCCACAATGGGGGAAATCCGCCCTGCTGGTGACACTGCAGGATCCACATGGCCACAGAGGCAGAGAGGGTTATGGACCGAAAAGCCTACAAAAAAAATTTTTACTTAATGCGGCAAGAAATCTTCTTCTAATGTTTCTATCAAATGTAGAAACACCAACGTGTAACGTTTGCTTGCTCAGGTGGTCTTAGCTAAAATTTGGAGATAGAAGAGGGAGCTTTAACATACCCTATAGGCAGAGATGGAGCATCCATCATCACAGCGGACTGATTTGGGTTTTAGACAAATGTAAGTTGCTCAAAATGTAAAACTTCCCCCGTGCGACGTGTGCTGCGGTCTTACCTTCACAAACAGCTCGATAACGGGCTCGTTGTCCGGCTTTACTCCGTTCTGCGGTACCGACAGCGACATGATGGGCGCTACTTATTGAAGTTTCGCTAACAAAGATGAGTTTATTCTTGCTACCACGCCCGATATTGCTCGGTCCTTTTCTCCGCCGCTCTTCCCTTTTTCCCCGCACTGAAGCCCAGTAGGCGCTTTTTCTCCCCAAGGAGGACCCGGTGCTGGAAGCACAAAAGTCCTATTTAGCAAAGCAGACCAGGAGGTAGCGGAGTCTGCCAGATTCACACGGCTCAACGTCGCTGTTTAACTTCAACCTAGCGGAGCTGCACAACCATCGCTGAACAGTCAGACTCTTTACGCTGGCGGAGCGGTGATGAGGTCTAGTGGGAAGAAGCAACGGGAATATTTAAGGCCGTGATGTCATGAAGCGCAAACATACAAAAATGTGGGAGGGTCTGAGGAGGGAGTCTTCATCATGCTGCGAGGAGGAGGATGGCCGAGAGCCGCTCAGTGGCTGCACAGGAATAATTATTTCAAGTGCTTCTCATGAGCAGTCCTACGGGAGATATATTCTGCGTCAAGAAATTAAGTAATTTATAAACAACTTTTTCCTTAAAAAAAAAAAATGGAGTTTGCATCCGTCCATGTTCAAATCACTGATCAAAATCCATCTTGATCAGTGAGGTTGTTTTTTTTTTATTTAAATCTTTGCACTCGTTTAAGCAATTTGTAACATGGCTTAATGTTAATGTTTGTAATTAATGTTTCTATCCTTTAACGTATGTATTTTAAAACCATGAAAAGCGATCTATAAATATAGTTATGGTTTCAGTCCATGCAGTTCCCTTTACATTTATTTGCAGTTTTCTCCTATGCTCCAGTCTTCTGTGTACTTACAGTGCATTGTCTGGATTTCCTCTTTACCTGCCATTTATCATTAAAAATTGTGTTTGTGTCATACAAAGATTATAGAAGCAAACCTACATTGGAATATGACTTTAAATTAGCTAATGCTAGTGTGACAAAAAGGTAGTTTGTTTTAGCTACAATGACCACACATTATACATCAGCTGCTAAATAGATTGCAGCATGGTGTAAAGTTGCGGGATGATTGGGTGGCTCATTTAAATTATCACACACACACACACACACACACACACCCACCCCTCCAACTGATGTAGACCTTATACTGCTTATGCTTATCCCCCCCATTCGCCTAAATTAAAAGTTGTTAGATCTGACAGATCACACCCAAAACAAATGACAAAATCTTAGGAAAGCATACATCCTATAAAAAGGTTTTAATTCTGAAAGGATGACAAGATGACAAGAGCCAGGGGTACTAAATACAAATCATATAGCAGTCCCACAGATATTAGCTTGGTGCAAGGGTGTCAACATAATGTTGCATTATCCATCCATTTGGGAAATTAAAGCATACTCTGTATCACATCAGATTGAAAATGTATTGTTTTAAGACTAAAACAAAGTCAGAAAAAATAACAGCAAGTTAAACAATGCCAAACACCTCTATTCAGTTACAATATGGGACAAGATGTTCTGTTACGGCCTCTAACAGTTCACACAGAGTGTTTCCTCTAATAAAAGGCAATAGCAACAGTATGGTACTGTATGTTGGTTTCTCTCTACACTCCATAAGGTCAGTGGTTCATGCACATCAGAGACAATCACTGCACATGCAATCATTTCTCTATGGAATCTACTGTACGTTGAGGAAAAATATTTGTAACCTGCCCAATTCACACCTCTGAGCTTAAACCGTTTCCCTGCTCTAGATTTTTTTTAAATTAGGGACAACACAAGCTTCTTTACAGTTTAGATAATACACTAACTGACAAATCAAGCTCTTAATGAAACACACCCTTCAGAATGTACCAAACCAGTAAAAAGAAAACAAAAGACTCAAGATTTAACAATTTGTACATTCTAAAGCTGAACCAGGTTGATGACAAACATCAAGAGTGAGTGGAAAATTAAAAAGTGAGAAAGCCCTTTTGTTTTCAGGACATCTGTGATGGAGACATCTGGGCCTTTCTCATGGAGCGCAGGGCCTTCTCTCGTAGGTGCTTCTCCAGGTCGTCCAAGGTGTCATCTACTTCACTGTCTGATTCCTAAAAGATACATAACCATGAATTATATGCCACTCAACTTGACCACCTGGGCACAAGTACAGAATGTTGGTTCATGGCAAACGAAATAACATCCACTATTTATATGTTCCCTGTTGAGCAGAAAGCATAAGGCCTTTGTAGCTCACAGAAAGATAACAGAAACAGACTTTGCCTTTCTTGACTCGCCATCTTCCTCCACACCCTGGTTTTCTTGTCCGTCTCCAGTCGCAGTGCCACTGGTGCTCTTCTCCTTCTTATGCTTCTTGTGCTTCTTGTGTTTCTTCTCTTTCTTGTGTTTCTTTTCCTTCTTCTTTTTCTTTTTCTTTCCACTGCCGTCAACATCAGAATTCTGCAATAAAAAGAGATTTTTTATTTTAAATAGGGACAACATTGAAAGTAATTTAGTTTTTTCCCCTAGATAAATCATATTCATTCAATTTTGTTCCATATTTTTCTGGTCATCCATGTCCCCTTGCAGTGGCTCTATAACCCCCTTTGGGGCCCCACCCCTAGTTTGAGAAGCACTGATCTAGGATTCAGTATTTAAGGTCATTAAAATTGTTTAAGATATAAGACAATGTTTCGAATTTCATCTTCAGAGGAAATCTCACAATGCTATTTATTTCAGACTTTTTGGAATTTTGGGAAGTAATGTTTGATAACATAATGTTGAATATAATCATTATCGTGTTTTTGACACGCTGCATAACTATTTACATAAATGCAAGATATCTACATACTTTCATTACAACTTGATCCCTTAAGCACAGTTTTCTAGAATGTGTGAATGTCTTGCATGTGCAAACTGTTCAAAAATAATAATTCAAGGCTCAAGCTATTAACTTTCATACATGCAGTCGATCTTAGACAAATTTATTAGTTCAAAAGCTGAAATATCACACCTTGTTTGGGGATTGACTGCCGGAACCACTGCTGGCCTTTTTGGCTGGTGGTGGAGACACGCTGGCTGAGCGAGATGGTGAAGGGGAGGCAGATGCAGGGGCTGGACGTTTAAGAGCTGCCGGTCGAGGGGAAACCGATCTGGATCTAGAGGATGCTCTCCTCATAGGCTGGGGACTCAGAGATGGTCTGTGGAGAGGACAAAGGTTAAAAAGGGGAATGGCACATATACAAAAATAAGTTGTAGTGTACACAAAGAAAAAAACTAATCATAATGAAAATTAATGCTAGCGGTCTTATTACCTCTGGCTGTTGCGTGGCTCTGGCGTGCGGGACACTCTGCGGATGGGTTTGCCACTGTGTGAAGGAGACTGTCTCCGCTGGTTAGATGGAGATGTATTGAAGGTTTCAAAACGTCCCTGAGGACTGGTGGAACCCCTAACAGTGCGGCTGGCTGCTGCAACAGGGGATCGTGTATCCCTGCTTGGCCTGACAGAAGGCAACATGGGGCTCCTCCTGTGTCTGGGTGGAGATGAGGAGGATGGAGGTGTGCGTCTCCTTTGAGGAGGAGAACTTCTGCGTTTGGGGGACCTGGAGGGGCGTCGCTTGGCCCCTGGAGAAGAGCGCTTTGTGGGAGAGTTAGACATCCTCCTCTTCTGTGGAGGCAAAGGGGAGGGGCTGTAGCGACGCTGGATAGGGGGAGAATATCGTCTCGGAGATGGAGAGCGACGGCGGGGAGGTGGGGAAGGAGACCTAAGAAGGCCAAATTCAATTGTCAAAAAAACATCAATTATTGATATTCAAATGATACAGAGATAAATTTAACATGAGTATACCTTCGTCTAGGAGGAGAAGGAGATCTGCGACGTCGTGGGGGAGAAGGGGAGCGCCGTCTGCGCCCAAGAGATGGAGAACGTCTTTTCCTAAAGGGGTACAAACAAAAAATAATACATAAACAAAAGTAGAACATGGTCAACTTGGATTTTTGCAAAACATAAAGTTAAATCTGTCAGGTAGAAAAGTGTCTGACCTTGGGGAGACATCCCTGTGTCTCCTCCGTGGGGAGGGCGTACGGCTACGTCTCCTCCTGACTTCACCATTTTTGGCGCCTGGCCCCACTGCTGGCCTCTTAGGCCCCTCGTCTTCTGAGGAGGAAGACCCTGTATCTGAAACCAGACAGACAGAGGACATTAACAACTGTTTTACTGTAGCCTTCTCTGTATGCGGTGAGGAAAACACACCAAGGTTGGGGTTAGGGCACAGCTTCAAAAGTCCATGAGACGATGAGTGCAAGATGACATGGACAGAGACTTGGTTAAAGAGAGGAGTTGGGTATAGGGGAGGACAGAACGGGGATAAAAACGCTTATAACCTGAAGAAGACTGTCGATTCTGCCTGCGATACTGACGTCGCTGCTGCACCGAATCTGCTGTTGCCCCTTTCTCATTTTTATCCTCCTCTGAAATGTAGAGCATTGAGCGTCCCATCAGTGTTAGCAAAACCAGTGAAACAGACTGCCATGGAAAAGTTGCAGGTAATACAGAAAAAAAGATTGATATCCCTGTGGCTTGAGTTTTCAACATGGCATGGTGCCATTTCACCATGTATTTTTCTACTACTGTCCCTTGTTTCAATATAAAGTCATGTTGATGTTTTTGTGCATCAGGTTTTTTTTTACTCTATCTGTAGTGATACCCTAATTGGGATCTATACATAATTATAAAACAATCTCCATTTGCTGCCGTCTCTATTATTATTTTTTTTAAACAAAACTGGTACTAAGCCAAAGGCAGAACATTCATTTTTGAGGTTGAAAGCAGATTTTCACAAAAGCACCTGGAAATGTCAAAAAAATTTTTAGGTGCCTCCCATTAGCCTTGTCCACTTTTTTATTTTTAGAAATAATCTTTCCATCTCATTGACAGTGACAAAAATTGTGCCATTTGTAATGGGATATATTATATACACCATGCATAGAAAGTTGCAATGACTCCGCCAACCGCCATCATGTCCCTTCCTGCTGAAAAATGAGGCCAACCAACTGGTCCAAAAAGCGTCCATTTCTCACAAGTAGGGATGCAACAATTATAGATTTTGTTGGTAATTATAGTCAGAGGAATAATCATGGTTTCACGATTATCATTATGCATTAATGAATTTAACAACACTAGTAATTACTTAAGTTGATATGTCTATAATATTTAAGTATTATTATTAATATAAGATGATATTAACTTTATTTATCCCCCAGGGGGAATTGTTATTAAGGAGGGGAATGTTGAAAATGATAGAACGAAATTGAGAACATCTCTCATGCAGTGTTAATAACTGAAATGCAGGTAATAGGTAGTCCTAGAAGT